TACACTTATGACGGAGCTACAGATCCTTCACAACAAGGCTGCGCGAATCATTTTAGATCTTCCCCCTACTGCTTCCGCGAGCGATGCACTTTCAAAGCTCCATTGGAAACCTCTAGAAAGGCGGAGAGCGGAGCATCGTGCTATTTTTATGTTTAAGGTAGTTAATAACCTTTTTATGCACACTTTTCACTGCTCTTTTAACAGTAACTATCATAACTATAATACACGATCCAAGCGAAATATCCGCAAATCATTCGCACACAGAAGATGGGGGCACCGGATAACAATAAACTTTGCAGCGGACGCTTGGAATGCCTTACCCCTTTCCCTAAGAGATGTGCCCACCTTAAGCCAATTTAAGCGTGGTATCAAGAAAGCACTATTTTAATTAGTTTCGTTTTGCGCATGTTAATTTTCAAGTAGTGTAGTTTTATCTTCATATTTTTCGATCTGTATTCTTTTTAAGTAATTATATTATAGTTAGTTACTTTTAGAAGGCCCCTCTGTAAACCACTTTTCTGTGATGTTGGCATCCTCAATAAAGATTAACTATTAATATTATTATTAGGGAATAACACTATCTTGCAACGCAGCGGGCTCTCGTTTACAAATCCACGAAAGCAAGGTTTTCTCAATGTTTTCCACTCACACCGAAACGAAAATGCAAAGAAAACCTCTTTGCAAAGCTTTGCGTATGGTCGAGAATTTTATTTGAATTGCTAACCTAATTGTAGAAGAAAAGGAGCAATTTCAAATTATCCTCTGCATCATAGACGGCCCCTTTTTTTGTTGAGATGACACTTTTTCCCTTCTGTTTCTTTAGTTTTGTTTTCTTTTTCGCGTAGCCTAAAGCCAACTCTCTCATTCCTTTCCATTTCAAGGTTGAGATTCAAATCCATATTGTAACCGAAAACATACATTTTATTTGCATGCTAGCCTTTCTGTTCCACACCACCATACCAAATAACATATCTCAATCAAAATCAAGACTTCTTAATTACAGTACTTGAACAAATGCTTTTTACACGTTTGAGTCACCACTTCGTTATGACTAGCAATTAAATATCAATCTAAAATGAGCCCTTCTCGTGGTACAAGAGGCCAGAGATTTCCTTGGACCACGGCGAAAAAGACGATTGGTCTAATGTGTGAACACCCTATTTCCCACCAAAAAGTTCATCAACGTCTTTCAAAATGGCGGGCATAATCAGTTAGTCATGAACGAATAGGCAACAAGAATACGCAAACACGCCAGCCGAATCCTGCTACTGTTCTACCTAAATGCGCTGCAATGTAATTGCTACTCTTTTACTTAAGTGTATATTGAACTAATAGATTCCATGCTGCAGTGCTTGTGTTCCGTAATGGAGAAAAAAGATGACGCTAATTAAAACGGAGCGATAGTTGCTAAAACGAGGGAGGTTGGGTCGGGTCGCTCAGAGAACACCCGTCATAATGCGACTCGACCCTTTCTTCCCTCGTGTTTTCACTCCTCTGCTGCTAACGCGCAATTTACTATAGCACTTCGTTTTCCTCAGAAAAGCTAAGATGACGTCACGATGCGGTTACAATAACAAAGTGGCACACGAGTCGCAGCTGATATTCTTACCACAGTTTGACGTCTTCTGGGATATTTTACTGTACAGACACCTGCCAACATGCAATTTATTTGTTAAATACAGAGCGAGAGCGTAGCCAATTGTAAATTCTAACACGATAAAAAATTTGTTGACGTCATCTATACGTCAAAATGCGTGTTTAATTCACCCTATATAGTCTTTGATAGATAATTAGTACATTGTCTATGCCCTTTGATCTGACTTTTCTTGCTGTGTAGTTGTCCCATTACAGATTATACAGCGTTTCTTGACAGATTTATCAGTTTCCTTTGAAATTCGTCAAGTTCATCTCGTTTGTATTCCATAAAGACGAAAATGTGACACAAGGCAAGAAGAAAGTCACTTAAACTTAAAGTGGCTAAAATTAAAAAAGAAAGTTATGAAATTTAAGTTTCAAATTTTATGCTGGCCGCACCACTGTAGTCATCAGTTATTCAAACTAAAAAGTACCTCGTGTGAGATGCCAGTTTTAAATTAAATAAAACTATGTACATTTTTTTTTCTTTGTTCTTTTTCTTTTTTTTTTTTTTGGTTTCTTCAAATACTAACCTCGCCTGCAACCGATCATTTTTGTTTACCTTCTGTAACAAATTCAAATCCACGCGACGGAAGAATCAGTACCTTCAAGCTAAACTAAAAATGCTAGTAGGGAGAAAAGAAGTAGAACTATACAAAAAATTTCAGCACTGATAAAAGCACAAAACATGTGCAGTTGGCCACTACTGACTGAGGAAAAAAGTCGAAGTATATTTTTCAACATACAGAATGTATGATTGTCCCAAACTCTCTTACGCGCAGAGGCTTAACCTTTCAATCTCCTTTCGCATACAACCTCGTTACCAGAGCCTCCCTTCTTTCCTTTCCCTTGAGTAAGAGAGAGACGGTGAGAGGAAGACTGGTGACCCTGGAAATAAGGTTTCTTAGCATTTTAGTACTCAGGAAGAGTGTATGAAAAAGGCACGTTTGTGGCCGATACATCAACAAACAGTCGATGACATTTTTTGGGGCAATATTGTGGAAGGGTTTTGAACCCAAAAATCCTAACAACTGAGAAAAGAAGTATTGACAAGTATTTTCCAGAGCAGCCTACTGATAACAGAAGGAAAAAGAATATAAATTAAGAAGAGCCTAATGCTATAAAGTCTCTACAAATGCGAAATAACAGCAGTCGATGTTTGCGTCACGTCGGTAGACCAAGTCGGCACTATTTGGTTTCTCGCGACGACGCCATCGGATTACGGCGGACGATCCGAGCGCGGTTCTCTCCTTCACGATAGCCAGTCAAAGACTCTATCCGGCTGGTTTAAGTCTTTTTATTCATATGTGCGCGGTTGCCGTCCCCTAAGAAGAGCTCCTACTGACGCAAGCCGGCTTCTACTGCTTTTAAGGCGATTCTGGTGAGTCTGCGGTCTAAACTGCGGCATGACTCGTGGATGGAGCGTTGGGGTCTCTGTGTCTAACTGAGTTGTAACGATATTTCTCTATGACCTCCA